AAGAGAAATTACCCAGAGATGATTGACAGACGAACTTTTCATGCGGAGTTCTGCGCAGACTCAGGAACAGCAACGATCATTTCAAATCATAAAGTTCTCTAATCTGAAGGCAATATCTGAATACAATCCAAAGTCACTGTCAGAACTGACGATAGTCGACACCGTCCACCAACCTTTGCGTCTAAAATATTATGTTCACATTTATGTATTTTTGAACTGTAAGGAACCAAAAGCCAAAACATGGTTACCATACGGTATAGAGCATAAAATAGAGCACTGATAAATCTTATTGTAGATTCTAAAGGTTGGATACATATACGATCCGTAAGCATTCACAATTAGTGTGCCCAACTCGCTGCTGGCAACCATTCATAAATTAAATCATTCTTACAACAGACCAAGGACTCAAAAGGTGAATTGTGTAGCTCTGCAGCCCTCATAGAACAGAGGAAAATATCACAGGTGTGACAGGACCAGATGTTAAAAAAATTGGCCTTAAAAACGATTGTCATCATCACATCAAGAATTTGATCCACCAAAATGAAAACAAAGTTGTTTATGTATATAGAGCTAATGTTGTCTTTACAGCCGCGCTTAGCGTATCTTCTTACCCATAGTTTCGTATTTTTTAGCATTCCATGAACATCAGTGATGGAGTTAGTTTTTGATCATCGCCAAAATGTAATGAATATATTAGACAGCTCAAACATCCAACATTTTGTCTAAATATTATTGTATTACCACTAATAGCTATGTTTGATAAAATTATCTTTTTACCCGCCAATGCGTATCTTACATCTAGACTTCTCCACGATCAAAAACCATTATGCTATAATAGAGGAACTTTCTATCCTGTCGAAGTAATATTTAAAACAATTGTAATACTTACACCCAATGAACTAAACTAAACAATTAAAATCGAAAATGTTTATTATATAATAATAAAACAAGCTCATGTTACTACCTTCTCCCGCATTTCACACTGTTTGACGTTGCATGTCTCCATCAAATATTTGATTTTTGTAAAGCGACTTTGTGCTAGTCTTATAGGCCTATGAATGGCTTTTACATATATGTCATATCATCCAGGGCCTACTTACATGTCAGATGTATGTTATAAACCAGTACAAGGGTCCAGGAGTTATTATAATCCACTCTCTAAAACAGATCTCTTTTAACAAAGTTAATCGCAGATTGATTTACACAATGAAATAGTCGATGCTTTTAAAGATTTCGAGAGTGTCGAGATTAAATTGCAGATTCATCCTACAGTAGAACATATTATCATATTCGTCTTCCCAAGAAGATTAACTAACATTGTGACCAAATTTCTGTTCCTAACCGTAACTAATTTACCTTTTGACCAAATTACTGATACAAGTTTACTATGTGACAGATTATAGCCAGTCAGTCACTTTTTAACCTTGTGACCAACTCACTGTAACTAATTTACCTTGTGACCAACTTACTGTTACTAATTTACCTTGTGACCAACTCACTGTAACTAATTTACCTTGTGACCAACTTACTGTTACTAATTTACCTTGTGACCAAATTACTGTTACTATTTACCTTGTGACCAAATTATTGATACTATTTACCTTTTTACCAAATTACTGTAACTATGATTTACCTTGTGATCCAATTACTGTTACTAATTTACCTTGTGACAAAATTACTGTAACTATAATTTAAATTATGACCAAAATACTTATTTCCCTTGTGACCATATTACTGTTACTAATTTACCTTGTGACCAAATTACCGTTACTATTTACCTTATGACCAAATTACTGTAACTATGATTTACATTATGACCAAAATACTTATTTCCCTTGTGACCAACTTACTGTTACTAATTTACCTTGTGACCAAATTACCGTTACTATTTACCTTGTGACCAAATTATTGATACTATTTACCTTGTGACCAAATTACTGTTACTATTTACCTTGTGACCAAATTATTGATACTATTTACCTTTTTACCAAATTACTGTAACTATGATTTACCTTGTGATCCAATTACTGTTACTAATTTACCTTGTGACAAAATTACTGTAACTATAATTTACATTATGACCAAAATACTTATTTCCCTTGTGACCATATTACTGTTACTAATTTTCCTGATAGCACTATTTGTTGTCCCGTTCAATACCACTAGGAAAATAGTCCATGCCTATTATGATAGCCTGCTAGAGAAATTCCCCCATGTCTATAAACAAAAGATGATTGTTGCCGATTTAAAAATCAGAACTATTAATGACAACCTTGTTCATAGAAAACTTCAGCCCATTACTAGCATGTAACAATTTAACCTGTCACCCATTTGGCGAGTTATTATTTTATCTAATTTCAGATAAGAACAGAAGAAAAATGCCCATAATTTTCTGATCCTATTTTCTTAATGAAGTATTTGTTTCATTCTAGGACTGTACATTTGGGAGAATCAAACCATCCCTACCCCGAGATATAACTTATCTTGACTCTAATATTACTTACAATCGGTTACATCAAATTTTCCCATTTACAGCCTAAAGACTGATGACGGAATGGATTATTGTCATCCTTTTGGAATTGGGGTGCCGTAAGTTGAGTCCCCATCAAGATAACGAAAATTGTGATGCTAAGACCAATGTTTTGATATTCACCCCCTTCCACCATATCTACAGATATTTCTCGATGAACATGGGTTATAGCTTTCGATGCGATCAAGCAAGGTGATAAAACCGCGCTACATAGTTGATTTATTTTGATAAAAAGTGTTTACATTGAAACAGTCTGTAACCCCGCTATTTAGTTTAACACTTTTAACACTATTAATACAACAACCATAACACTTTACGGTGTTATTATTTATATTGGCCCTTTCAAATTAGATTAAATGAAGCGGAGGTTTTCACCTTGTTCTTGCATGGTGGCTAATATTATCAGATGACGAGGGGCATTTTTAAAAATAACATAGTAAGTTCTTGGGCATTCTGTGCTGTTCTGTTACAGGATTTGTCACGTTCCGTAGCCCTGGAACGGTTTGGACTATGATCGATTCAAAATTTGAATGGAGGAAAGAGAACAATTACGGAAATGAGAAATATTCACGTATTTTTTAGTGTATCTCATTGTATTGCACCTTTTAGCTTTATCGAATTATGATTCATTTGATAGTATTTCTTTTTTTGGTAATGTACCCAATTTAAATCAATATTCCGATACATTATCTTTTTAAAAATATTTCTGGCCGGTATAGTAAGTCGTCACTGAATGAATGAAAGAACAATTTTGGGGTACATGTATTTCTTAAACGGTAATAGTTGAAATTTCACCAACCAAAGCCAAAACCACGGACACAGAATTCTTGATATTCAAATCAAAGAATTTAATGTTTAGTTAAGGACTATAGGTTGTATTTTGGTAAGAACTAAAGAGTTTGTCTGGAAAGACAGGTAACACCTGATAGAACCCCTACTGCATAAACCAATAAACCATTAGTCCCCTGCTAGGGTCTGTTAGAACTTTGATAGTATTAGGTTTTAGGGATATGAAATAGTGATAATTACTTATATTGGTTCTAAAGTCTATTGATAAGCGATATAATATTGCTTTACGTTATTTTCTGTAATTTCATTAGTCCAATCAGGTGTAGTAAGACGTAAAACTCAATTTCCTTTTTTGATTTCTTGTATTTCATATATATGAAAGAAAGCGTCACCAAGTGTAATTAAAGTACAAGTACAAAATTTATAAAATTCTCTGTTCTATTTATTTATTCGCTTTTATAAAACTTCGAATAAAAAATATCAGGTTCTTTAGCTTACTGAATATGATTTAGGTCTATTGTCCTTATAATATGAAGTTTAAATTTTTGGTGATTTGAATAAATTTTGGCGAAAATACCAATCTCAAAAAGATCATACGATTGCAAATAATGGAAAGGAACCCAAGTTGAAAATCCAGCACAAAGTGACATCATGTGTTCCATTTTGATAATTGAAATTGGAAAATATTTTTCTGTATTAAGGTCTATGGAAGAAGCTGTTTGCTTCCCACAATACCGAACAAACACAACTGACTTAACCACGTGGATGCTTACATCATTGGAATGAAAAATCGCCCAAAAAATTGTTATTATTGAAATTTGCAGTGGAAAATATTTACTGTGGAAAAATAAACAGTTTGACTTTCATTTTAATAAGGTTAAAAAGACAAGAAAATAAGTCACCGGCCATTAAAAATTAATCAACATTTGTCTTCCCGATAAAAACATAGATCTTTACGTTAATTGACGTTCTGAAGTATATTTATCAAACCCTCTAATAGGTCACATGATCAGTAAAATACAAACATAAGCCAATGGCTTGTTAACATTTTGCCCCGTAGCCACGTGTTCTATTCTAAACCCCTCCCTCTCTTTCTCGATCTTCAGAAATGTCCTATTCTCAAGTCATCGTTAACTTTTGATCTTTCACGACGATTGGTAAACGTAGATAACTGTCAAAAAGATTGCACGGCAAGATGGGAGTGGGCAAGATCAAGCGATTGCCAATTACCCCCTTACCCTGCGTATTTTAGGCGCGTGCTGAAAAGGGAAAAGGTTTTGAATGAAGTTGGAGGTTTGTGAACGTCATTAACTAGCAGACGATAAGTTACGTCAAGATCATCCAGGGAGAAAATCAAGGTTTTCTCACGAGTGCCGCCTGTCGAGGATTAGCGCCTAATAATCATTCGGGCCAACGGGAACAAATGCAACTCGTCAAATAAGCCACAGGGTAATCAAGATTCCGACATCTTGAATATCGACAGGTTCTCTCAAACATCTTCAGATTGTGACATTTTGGAACTACGATCTTCAGAAGTATCGCCATTTTGAAGTGACAGAGTAAAACTAACACAAAAAGTATATTCAGATGAAAAATGTCTGATAAATAACCTAATCGTCTAAAGTTTGTAAAGTGTATCAGAAAACGTTTTCCAGTGAGAATTCATAAATAAGGTGCTAAAATGAACGGACTATTAACGTCGGCGACTCAACAAATGACTTCTTTCCAGAATCAGTTTCCTAGTGCCGGACATTTTGGACAGATGTACTCTCAGCAAAGACCGTCTTTCGCCATTCAGGAAATTTTAGGATTGAACTCATCGTGTCGACAGAATCCGAGTCCAGAAGTGGTGGATCATTCTCCGATGCCACCCTCCAGTTTTCCGGGAATGTATTTTCCAGGATTTAATGCAGGAGGGTTACCTTCCGAGCCTTCCGGAACTTCATTTCTCAGGGAACAGCAGCAGACCAACCCCTCGCCATTTTGTCCCTGGCGATTTGATTTATCTCAAGGTGCTCCTCAAAATATTCCCTCGTCGCGTTTCCCCTGTCATGTTGGTTCCCGACCCGCAGAAGATGTCAATTTCAACTTTAAACACAATAACCTGGAGGAAGGTAAGTCGAATTTCTTTTTAATTTTTACAGGTAACAGGATCAAACGGTATGAATCCTTAGAATAATTTTTAAAACATATTATAGAAAATATGCTAATAAATTATTATATATTGGAGAAATTATATCTGACTATTTGATTCAATTTGGAAGTTTTTATACAAATTTTTAGAGGGAATGTAATGAAATAAAAGCCAAATTGTCAAAAAAAATGAAAACAGATATTCCAAATCTTTAAAACTATATTGTGAAAATTGGAATTTCGAATTCTGAATATACCTAAATTTGATTTTACTTTTTTCTCAAAATATTTGAAATGATATTCATACATTCTTCTAATATTTATGAGAACTATTTCTTGAAAAATATTACACAAAATTCTCAAACAGCTAAATTTACAGAAATCTGAACATAATTAGGAAATTTAAGATTATTTCCGAATCTGTTTATGATTATTTCAAAATAACAAAATCAGTTTTTGAAAATGTGTCACTATAGTATTAGATTTGATAGAAATTAACCTACCATTCTTGCACAGGATTCGAGCTGGGATCGTACAAAGAAAAATACTCTATACTAGAGCCTACATGCAGTAAAATTAATACAAATATAGCTTTATGGTAATCATACGAAATTGAAAATATTTTTTTACAAGGGTATAGTGTTTGTCTGAGTTGTGACTCTCGTGGCCTTGATAAAAGGAAATGTATTAAGTGAGATATGCTCCAAACTATCATTCAAATTTTCAATATCTTTACTATTTTTTTTTTTTTGGAAAAGACTTTTTAAACAATTGAATACACCCACCCTTACCCCCTTCCTAATCAGACTTATTGCAATGAAGGGTCTATATAGACACAATCTTCCTGTTTTAATGTTTTTATATTTTGTGTTTGTTTCTCTTAGGCTACAGCATTTTCCACATCCAAATATCTGCCAAATCTTTCATGTGAAATGTCAAATTCTCCCGAGTAAAAACTATTTATTTTGAATAAAACTAATTACCACTAAACATTCTAATACTCTATCTATGAAAATAAACCATTTCATCTACAAGTTTTCTTACAGGTTGATTTTATTTAAATAGTCATACTTTGTAGACTACATAGCGGCTTTAGTTGCATGTTTAGCTGATTTTGTCATTTACGTTTTGTGGATTATAGTATATTTTGTAATGTACTAGCTTCATATATTCACTGTTTATTTATTATGTCGAATTTATACTATATGTCATTTTTTATATATATAAGGATATATTATTTTGATGCGCAATTTTTCCAAAATGGTCATCCCAGTCTTGATATTTTACTGAAAATCACAATCCATTGAACGCTAAAATACATCAAATTTTGATTCTGGGTAAGCTTTACCGAAACTACGAAGTCATTTCGAATATTCGAAATATAATATATCAATTGGTTATCAACGTTATATATAAAGGTCGGACACAAAACGGGCAAGGAAATATAAGTATGTACTGATACTGAACAAATAAAAGTGGGGAAAATTTGACTTGTTTATATTCATTGTTGTATTTGGTCCGAATTTTCATGTGACCTTAAATCAAGAAAATACAGAAACTGCATTGCGTTCTTTACATAACTAGAAAATTGAAATTGGATTTGATAATCCAAATTGTAGTCAGGGGTCCGAGTTGTATTATATTTTTTAACTGATATGTCCAAGAGAAAAATTATAGAAAAAAAAACAAATCTTTTGCACTTTTGTAAAAAATTTCGGATGTCTTGGAAGAAATCTTATTATATTATCAAAGTATGCAGTCTTACACATTTAGTTTCATTTTCAACTTTCAAAGAGAAAAGTTACGTGTTTGATTTTTTGAATAACTTTGAAATTGGTCTAATTAAGAATTCCCTATAAGAGGTGGTCGCCTTGAATAGATCCTGTTTCACAACATTTTCAATTTCATCGTCAAAATTTGACCTGGAAGCTACCAGGAATCAAAATAAACTTTAGAGTTTAGAGAAAATTTCACCCATGTTTGAATCCTCCTAGATTTTATCAAAATTAAGGGTGTTGCTCTTTTACATTTTTACAAATATTTTGAATACTATTTTGACAACGATTTGGAGATATTATTTTGTCTTTGAACAGTGTAAAAAGGCGTCTTTGTCTTGCAGTTATCGACTTATTTTCTTAGTTTTGTGTCAAAGAAACGTGGATAGTTATACCCTTGTTTTGGTGAATTTTAGACGCAAGGAAAATATAAAAACTATATTCGAATATATGAGAATAACGCAGTTATACATTTTGCGGGAAAATATCGTATCAAATGTGAAAGCTTTTCCACAATTTCTTGTAGTAATTACATTGTTTTGGAGTTCGTTTCGAGTTGCACTTTAGATCATTTATAACTTGCGAATATATAAAATATTTGTGATTTAATAAGTATTAAGGATATCATTTTAATTCAGAATTAAGCAAAATTAAGAATGGCAACCGAGGGAAACTCATGAAATGGTAATTTTTTTTTTGCAAGCAAAATCATGGCACTTTTATAAATAGTGAATAACAAAAACAAACGAAAAATTTGAACAGAAGTGAAAACTGAACAACGTAAAAAAAAAACGTTATGAAATTGTTTTGCCTTTCTTTTGATGCACCAATCAAAGGTCAATTGACCATTTTAAATCTCAAGGTTCTAACTGTCATTTGCCTAGACAGAAAACAATTTGAATTCGACGATTATTGAGTTTTGAATTTTTAACGACCTTCGCGACTTTTCAAGAAGAAATTTTGGCTTTTGGTACTAATTAGAGTAAATCTAAACTCAGTGTTCCTCTAAAACTCAGAAATATTTGCTTAACTCCTGTTAATTTAGACTCAATGTTTATTTTGGTGAAACCTATGATTCATTTGAAACCAGCCGAGAAAAAAAACATTTTTACAAGCACCTGTTCAGTATGCACGTGCTGTGCAGAAGGCGGTAAAACAAGGGATAGCTTGTGGAGGGAACAAATTGGCTTTGAGATCTCTCATTACCGACTTTAAAACACATTCCTTTTTTTTAATTACATTTGACAAATTTTGAGCGAAATTTCAGAATTTATAATTTGTAACTTGATCTTAGACTTTACTTGCTCTAGGTCGGCTAATGTCTAAACGCCTCTTATTTTATTTTGTGATGTTCCCCACCGTTATAAATGGGCTCTTTATTATTATTTAGGAACAGATATAGTTTGGTTCAAGAATAGAATTTTAGTCAATTTGCTTCAATGACGATTGGTTCTTTTCAAAAATTGTCGTGGTGTATCGGTGATTATGATTCTGCAGTTTTTGTGATATTTTCTGTTTAAATCCAAACTGCTAATACCTCAAAATGAATGGCCATTTGCATCACTGAACGAGATTATACGAGATTAGCGATTGAGGGTTGACGTGACAAGGAAAATAATGGGTAGTTGAAGCAGTAATTAGAGGCTGAAACGGCGTTCCATCCTCATCATTTTATTATATGATAACCATACATGATCGATTGGTTTTATGGACAACCGTTACAGCTATAATTAGCTTAGTTAGAAATTTAATGTCAATTCGATGAGAGCAAATGTCGTATTGGATTTCAGCTTTGAGTGACGGCTGAGGTCACGTTGTCAAAAAGTAATCTTTATTAAATTCAAAGAGCTTAATTGAGCTCAATTTTCTAATTCGATTTATATCCACCAAGTCAATTTTGAATATGTTACATGATTAAATATTTAGGTTTTGAGCTTACTGAGCAGGTGATTTATGATATCTTTACATCCTATTGGATGGCTACTTGCTGTCTATAACGTCCACTGTGAATTTTGATTAATGATTAGGAATTATGTATTGGTTGGCATTGATACAAGAGCCAATACAAATGTATCAGTTTGAAAAATGTCAATTATGTCATGAATCAAGATGACTTATGAATTGATACAACAGTCTTTGATCTTGTTGGTCAATAGATTAAAAACTCATTATTATTCATAACGTTAATATTTTAATAAATGTCAACGTTGAATTTGATGAATGTATAACATTATAAGACTGATTTCATGCTTTAATTTTTGACTGAAGGAATTTTTATATGATTATTTTTTTTATGTTAATGATAGAAGTAGATACAATTTGCGAGAAAGAAAACTATTTATCACCTAATTTATAAGTTAAATGAATAAAAATTAAACCTATATTTGTTCAATAAATTTGGTTAATAGTTATAAACATTTTAGATCTGATCTAATGACAGGAAGGTGACCACAATATTAATTCAATTTCTGGTTTTACTAATATCCATTTATTTGGTAATGTCGAAGACAATTCAGATTTACCTGAAACCTTTTGCAGTGGTTCCATATTTAAAAAGCACAACAACTTAAACCAGAAATCCTGTCTACCAGATGGTGATTTGTCATACATCTTCATATTTACTATTATAAATAATAAACAAGTAATATATCATATGAAGAATATTGGCTACGAGGAATCTCCAAAATAGATGTCGAGTTGATAAAACCAGTCGCAGAGTGGCATCGGGTGCTCCAAACAAATCAGTCGATTGGCGATGCAACACATCTTAGTAGATCCTTCGCAGTCGACATAAGCGAAATGCTTGAATTACGAGTGACTGAGACCCTATCTAAAAAGTCTTCAAAAATATAATAATGTTTGCTAAGAAACATCCAAACACTATAATAGACAATAAGTAAAGATATTGTAATCATTGAAGTACCTTGAACGTGATGACAAGTGAATATATAAGTGTGTTCAGTGTTCAATAATACCTTTCTAAGTGTTGAACAATAACACTTACAAATACCCGTAATACTTATAAATATAACACTTCACACTTTCTGACAATTTGATCGCTATAGATGGACGTAAAACTCTGTTTGACTTGTTTTTTTCTGTTTTAATGCAACGTCTTTTGTTTTGTGATTTTTTAAGGAGGTTTAAGTGAATTAAGTCATTTCGTTTTGATCATTATTGTTGTCTAAAAATATTATTTGTTTTAAGGGATTTTAAGTGATTTATTCTGAGTGGGGTTTAAATTTTAAGTACTAGATCAAAATTTCAACAATACTTAAAGTTATTCAACAATACCTTAATGATGTGTGTTTTTTTGTTAATTTTAAAGAATGTTATCTTCATCCTGTTGTCAATAAAACCTTTTGCTAATTAGAAAAATAAATAATGTTAATTAATAGAAATTACAGGTCATAATTAAAGTGAAATTGATGCGAAGTTAAATCGGATACTTGAGAATTCACAGGTTTTAGAATTTGTCTTTTGTTTTTCTGGTTTCTCTTCTTGAATTAATTTTGATAATTTTCTATATTTTACTCGATCATAAATTCACTATTTCAATTCAAAAACCAAAGAATAAATAATTATGGTTTGATTTTATTAAAGTTTTTATGTTTGTCATTGTCATCCGATTTTAATTTTTGATTAAGGTAAGGCAAATAGAATTAAAGAAGATTAACGCCCCGTTCGTGTTTCTCCTCATGATGATATGGCTGTTCGATAATTCAATAAGGTGTTCAAAATTTGGAAATAAAATTTCCATTTCCCAAAATCCATGACTGAAAAAGGTTACATTAAAATATGTTGTTCCATTTCATTTCATTTTCATTGCAAAGCTAGTTAATTCCAATATATCTCGGATGACGAACTAAGACCTGTCTTAAAACACCTTAATACCAGATTATTAATCAAATTATTAGAATCAGATCAGTTTTTAATGCCACAAGTCAACATCCGCCATGTTAAATCACGTGACGGTCAATATTAGCTGGAAAGATTAAAGAGTGTACATTATCAATATAAGTCAACATAAACCTAGTTTAATTTGTCCGCAAAACAAATTTGTTCTTTAAGATTACATTGAAACATTCTTCTTTGTATTAGATCGTCCCGGGGTATCTCTTATAGTTCCATTACTCAAATTGATAACGTACGTTGCAGTTTTCAATAATGGCATTTTTTTGGATAATCCAGTTGATGTTATTTAATATCTTACGGTATTGTATTAAAGGGACACGTTCGCCATCCATTTTACCAACCGTACCCCTCAGAAACGGGAATTTATTTAGCTAAACTAATCAGTAATAGTATTCACAGCTCACCTTCGAAATTTTAGCCGTCAAATTCAGGTATGTCTAGAAATATTCACGTTTGAAAAAAAATCACGACTCATCTTTTCTTGATACTCTGCTGTATATAGAACAGAAAGTGATTTTTTTTTTATTTTAAGTATATTTGACGGGGTTATGCTATTTTTGTGCAGTTCTAGTACTAGTAGTTCTGAAGATCAATTACATATGTACAAGACCAAAATCAACCCCCGAAACTGGCGAATCATGGCCTTTAATGATATAAAGGGTCGTAGGATAATTGCCAAGTTTCAATGTTTTGGGATTAGGTTATGGTCAGGTTGGGTGGTAGGAGGTTGGTGTGGGTAAAATTGGTTGATATTGAACCTTTCATTATAAATTCCCACTACTTTCACTTTAGTCACAGATTAAACTTCACACATACCACAATTAGCAATTATACATCTCGCATTACCAGTCGCTTGCTCGGGTTATAGGTTACATTAAGCGGTCACTGGATAAATAGAGACTACAGGGTAGGCTATTGTTCTGCTCATTAACAACTCGTTAAATAGCCGCCAATTTCCACGCGACGGGGGCGCGATTTCTTTCCTTGATGAGCACGCCGGGGTGCAGGGTTGTATGGGTAATCACGCGCACGAAACGCGCCCGTCCTCGCCTTTACGACAATAGACTGTTGTAATTAACAACGCAAACTTTTCTCTCATTGAGTTATCCCACTTGACAAAGCTGTAAGACTTGTCAAACGCCTGTACAAATCTTAAGTGGTTGATTCTTCTTTTTCGCACCTTCGTTCATTCTGTTAAGGGCCCATTCAAGTATGGTAACCCGTGGGGACAATTAGTGAAAGGGGAGGGGAGTCGTCAGAGGCCTCACAGCACCACGTCCTTCCACATGTTAAGCCACATTATTATCCAACTAACTGAGACATTCTAATAAAAATTCTCAATTCTATTAAGACAACTAACCCATAGTTTGACTTTATTTTCTAGTGTTATTCAATGTTGAACGTTTCACAGACCTCGTATAATCGTCGTTAATTCTAAAATTATCACTTCTCGGATTCTACCCTAGAGCTTCTTTAAATATTGTAGCGCTTTATTTTTTGTTATTTTTTACAGATTGGAACGTTGGAAAATTATCTTTTCATCATCCCAACAAAATTTGTTACTACCTTAAACTACTGTAAATGTTCGGGACACTTGGCGATTTTCAGGTCGTGGTCGTGGATATAACTTGCAAATACGTAATTGTTAGCTTCTCAAATCGAACGGGAGCAAACTATATTGTGAAAGACATGAAGGTGCAATAAATTTGTGATGAGAAAATATTTAGGGATAACGTCGAGACAGACTTAAAAAAAAATTTTGATTAATTTTGACAGTATAATTTTGTAATTCACCATTGTCAGGCTCAACTATAAAAAATCTTCGAAACATTGTATCACAAACACAGGCTGTGAACAAAAAATGTGGTCATCTTCGAGATGGTGAATTCTTAATAAGGCATAATTAGCTGTTGACACAAGGTGCGATGCATCGTAAACTAAACCTCGAACACCCGGTGTTCCTTTACATCCCGGAAACAAATAGTCCTAAGAATAAAAAGAACAGCATCCTCGAGCATCTTAAAGATGCAAATTTTTAATTGATCCTAATTATCTGTTGACATGAGGTGCGATATCTGACATATTAATTGCGATTACGTTAACCTAGGCGTAAGTCGTTAATTACGTTACGTTTATGATGTTGCTAAACACTAGTTGAATTAGTCTTAAAACCGGATTACGAATCAAATTATCAATTTCTCCCCAACAGTGATAATTATAACAAGGTAATCCGATTTATGTGTTAAAGCTAACAGTTTTAAAGCAATTAGACTGTCATAGATCGCCACCTCGATCTTCAAAAAGCTTAGATATCACCCTGATATTTGTAGGAGTGAACAGTGATAATTGTGCTTTTGTTTTCTATTTCCGATCTTTTTCAGGAACTTTATTGTACACAACACTTTACAAAAGCTTTATTTTCGAAAAGAAGCATATTTTTATATATGTATATCACTGTATCAGTCTTCTTTTGACTTCTTGACGTAAACAAAATAGAGCTTTTCTCTACTCCAATTATTGACCTACTCGTTGTGATCGGAAAGCAGAATTTGAGGGTGCCTTGTACATACAAACAATGTGTTCACTTGTGAAAACGACTGTCGATTCGAAAAACATTGTCGACTTTTACCTATATCCTACGCAGATTGTGTTTTGAAAACATTTCTAAACTTTCCTGATATTCCCTTCCCCCCATTGCAAGTTGAATCAGTTTGAAACAGTGTGAAAGAGTAACCCGACTCCACCAGTCAGATTAGAAAGATGTAAAGCATGGATTACAAGAGGCGTTAAAATTAGTCATAATTATCCCATCTTATATATGATGGCCTGCAGTGAGACGACCAAACCTCTCCTCGGGAGGAATTCCTGATTTTCACGATTACCGAGTTCAAATTTCCTCGTATTTCTACTTCTAGCCCATGTCTCTCTAATCTCCCAGTTTTAATTTACTAGATAGAAAGGATTCAATATAGTTCAACCAGTTCACTTTCTTTTCCCCCAGTTATGAACATATCTTCTTAAAAATAAGGGAGTAGTAGAGTCGCCTTGTGGGAAACCTTTCCGAGATTGATGAATTATTATTGATACCTTACAAGTAGTTTTTCTATTCTATTCTATTCTATTCTATTCTATTCTATTCTATTCTATTCTATTCTATTCTATTCTATTCTATTCTATATTTGTTTAGGAGTAGGAACAAACTCACTCATGTACGTGTTGGTCTGTATTATCGCCAACACAACAGGGGAGCAATTTGAAGAAGAAGCTGAAATCCTAATCGCCTGACATAGCTGTCAGATTAATATTTCTCATCATTGTAGCGGAATTGAGATAAAAAGTATACTATATTTATATCTCTATGTGTTGACATCTTTATAAATTAATCTTCAAGCCACTTAGGTTTAAAAAATTGAATTGGAATCTTAGTTCTCACCGTGTCATAGAGATGACAAAATCCTCCTCTTGATTTTTGATGACTTTTTTTCTTCATCTGGAAGTACTTGCTATTTTTGCTGATGTGATGAATAAAACTTGAAAGGTGCTGGCAGGGATCTAGAATAGTTTAAAGATTAGGAGAATTAACTAGCCTTTGGTTTTAATGATAAGCGACATGCAAATTATTTGCAATGTGTTGCAGATGTTGGAGAGAGAGAGATAATCTTCAGTGGTCTACACTAATCATTTGAAAGGATTCAAGAGATTTTGTAATCCAAAAATGTGAATGGGATCCTTCGATTAACGTCTATGACATAAACATAAATATATCTACCTCAAGAGAGAGCAATTTGAAGTAAAAAACAATACTGATTGCTCTTAGATTATACATATAAACTTATCACTGACTTTGAATAAAACCTCTTACTTGGCTCATACAATGCAACTTTACGCCACTGTCCTGATGAGGATTTTGTATTCTTTTGTATGAGATAAACTCTGGACAATTTATTTGATAATAGAATTTTCGGAGTGAAAGGGGTTAACGATATAACTATGTAATTTTGATTATATATTATCGGCGGTTATAAGGTTAATCATGTCTGTCTAAATTTTATCAGTATGTAGAGGTTTTAATCCCAACGACTCAATTATAATCTTAAAATATGCATTAAAACTGAACTACTTCAATAGCTAATCTGTTTCACTTAGATTATTACTATTTTAAAGATTCTCTTTTCCAGAAGATTACTATAGATTTCTGATTGTATTTCACTTGAGTGATTCAAACATATTTTGCAATTAGTGACGTCATCAAACACTTATTGAATTATTGAATTGCACCAACCACTGACAACCAAGTCTGACTGAAAATTGGAATGGTGCAAATTGATGCTATCAGTGTCCCCGATACACATGAAATTTTTTAGAAAACCTCTTTATAATCCCTTTAAAAGCGATGAATTATATCGGCTTGTCATCTTAAATATTTAACCAGACTTTCTTGGACTCATATCTTTAAACTTGACAAAACTACATGTCAAAAATACCTTTTACAATTGTCCTGTTGCTCGATAAAAACCAGTTAAATTTTATAGATTATTTTCAAGTGGTTACCTATCTACCAACTTGTAGGCTAACTGCATAGAAATTGCATTAGATAAAACCATGTCGAAATCTGTTTAGCGTTCACATGCCACTCTCTACCTGTCAGAATGAGGGTCCTTATCCGTCAAACTGGTGACAACCTTAAGTAGTTGGTAACATGATTTCAATATAACAAACCACCATACTCTGGTGTATTTAATACGTTTTTAATGGGAACAAATACTTGATGTACAGTTAATCGTAATCTTAGACGCAGTGGGAGAGGTGTTGGTGTGATATTGGGGGGAGGGAGCAGGCCCTGTGAGAACTATTTTGTAAGAATTTTATGAGCCTTTGAGAATAGCATTGATGTACATCTAAACAATAATAATAATAATATTATTTATTATTATCAAGTGAAATATTTGTTTAAAGATTTTCAGACAAAACAAAATTTTGGCATAAACGCTATAAAAAGATTTTCTAGAAAGTTTTATTGTTGTGTGAAATAAGCAAAACAGTTATTTTCATTTAATCAATTATGTCATTGGGTAATAATTAGAATATAAGAATATAAAATTATTTATACTGGTTACAAATAAATCTGGGTTGATGGATATACGAGTTATTATTGAATTATATAGAACACGTCCAAAATATTTTTAAAATATTAATATGTTATGTAACTGCTAGCTTCTAGAAAATGTCATACACGTCATTTTTCCGTTGTTATTTTCTGATAATTCTGTATTAGTTTTGTCAAAAACTTTGATAATGCAATGAACGGTTGTTGTTAATTCTGTCAACCCCGACTCTTTCTCCCCTCTCCGAATCTTAATAAATGTGTTTTCGAGCAAAGGATGGAACTTTTTCGGATATAACATAAGATGCTGAAATCTATGACATAAAAGTGTTTTTGACCAGACATTTCCAGCTTACGGCTATAACGCTTTTTAATTCGGTTCAGCGACAGTTCAGTCTTTGCAGATCGTTGCTAATATGTGCCGTAGATTCGAAATCCTACTCATTACCTGTGCCAATGAGTTGAAACAAGGATGGATAACTCACCTCGCATCCTGACCCCCAAAATACCAGGGAATTTTATTCTGAACATTAGTGGTAAAATATTTTCTTATTTATTTTCAGTTCAGAGACAGTCGTGCCTTCAAGCTGATAAATCTCGAGACTTGATCAACAACTGCAGTAAAAAACAGAAGAAACGGCGGCGACATAGGTTAGATATTTTACTTTTCGATTTCCAACTGTCAACTGATCTTTAACGTGAACAGCCTGTGACACAGAGGTACTTGGTTTATTGTCCGAACGAATAGAAGCCTTTTCCATGTTAGCCTCTTCGACCTGAAACACCGACAGGGGGAGACCGGGTTGAAATATCCAAAGGTGTTATCTCGACCTATGAAAAAGCGGAAGTATCTTTTATAGTGTTTTTTTCTGCCTACATAAAATAAATATGACGTATTCATTCAAAAAATTTTACGTCATAGTTTTTTTCAGAAGAACCGAAAAAATGATCCAAATTGGCCAATCTCGTGCAAAATAAGGAAATAATTGTAGCTCATTAACAAAGTTATAATAGATGTCGGAAATATCTTATTCTTATTTCTAAATATGGGTCTTTAACGCTTGCACAATTGTTTGATACACGGCTTTGAGGCTAGGAATAGAAAAATAAATATTTTAAACTATTCAAAGATGATGGATGATTTTTTTTTTGTACAACTGACAAAAAGTGTAATTATAGTTACTTTATATAGCACGTTTTAAACTTGACATTGTGTCAAAATCAAAAATTAATTCCGAAAAAAATAGATTTAATTGAAATTTTTTCTTTGATTTTTTAACAGCGACTTATAAATCGTTTTATCACGAGCTTTAAAATGAAATTCTCAAATAAAAAAAATCTTCAACTAATTTTGTCTCTTATCTTTGATAAGAAATTACTGGAAATAGAAAATTCTGTTTGGAAAGTGTCGAAATTGAGGGATGATAAAATGGCACTTTACCGATATTACTAATTTCAAAATTTGAAACGCTGACAAATTTTTCGTTTCTGGGTGACAGCTCCGTGCAGTGATTCTACTAATTTAAATTCAAATCGAAACGTCAGTTTGTGAAGACAGATTTCGATCTCTCACGCGAAATTTTTCGCTTTTAGTGCGACATCAAGAAAAATAGAAGTAACAAACATGTAGCAAGCATATTATATTTCTCGAAATTTCTTTCTATATATTTTTTTCTTCTTTGAAATCAATAATTAGAAATTTTCGTTATTTTTTTTTATCTTTTACTTCCTCTTTTTGATATATCCTTCCTCTAACAAAGATCTGTCTGAATGCATGACCATAAACCATTCACGCAATAAAATACGTATATTGAAACGACACTTCAAGGTTAATTTGTGTGGACCTCTTTAGGATCCTTCTGTATTAACTGTTTTAAGTGGTCAGATGGCCTGGCAAAATTTATCTCATTGCACACTGCATGGCGTTGATCATAGGCCTAATCAAGTGCAGAAAAGTAGGACGTAAAACTCCATTCATTTCATTTCTATTGTACAGACGAAATTGAAGCCACGTGGTCACAATTTGAATGTGAATTTTCTCCTTTGTATGTTGTAATAGTATATTGGATACTATTTAAAAGACAGTAAAAAGGTTCACTGCACTCTTGCAAACGCTTACAAATAAATTTGTACTTTTAGAGAAAAACAAGAAAAAAACTATAAAGCAATTAGGCTAACTAATAAGACTGCTTACAGCATTGTGTCCGGTGATAATTGCGCAACTATTAGATCTGGTTCAAGAACTAGTTACCGCGGCAGCCTTGGTTAAAGTTCTTCTGTAGGCTACTTTTAGTAGGTCCTATAACTTCATTGAATTTGATCTATACTTTGGTCTCACGATGGTTGGAGTACCTTGCGAAATAAAATGAAATAAAGTTTTACGTCTTCTTGCGATTTAGATTAACAATGCCATGCAGTGTGCAAGCAGGGATATTATTGCCAGTGAAACGTGCGAGTCGTTTATTGTATTCTCGAATACCTGATGCCACTCTGCGACTGTCTTTGTCAACCCGGCTTAGCTAAAAGAAGTTCTGTTTATTTGACTCGACAGCTTATTAAACATATAATATATCTAGTATTAGGCCTATATATCATACAAACATTGATTCGTCTGTATTATATCCATACCCTCCAGTAAAAATAACAAACTGGTTCTTCATAACATTGAGACAATGCCATCAAGTAAAAATATCACTATTAAACGACTGCTAATTGGCTCGAACGACCGTTTGACCGAGTCTACGGTAATTAGTTGTTTGGCGGAAACTAATGTATTACTCCGCCTAAAGCAAATCACGTTTTTGTACGATAGTCGTTGTCATTGTCAAAGGAAGTTTAGCGTGAAAGGACGAGATCTCAAATTTTTCCGGTCGTCAATTAGGAAATTAGCCGAATTTTGAAATCTGAAAGGAACAAATCCTGTTTTAAATTCTTGCAGACGAACTAATCACCACAGCCATTTTGATAATTTGTATTTTTTCATGTTCTATTCATGATAGAAATTCTACCCCGTCGTGAATTATATCAGCTTGATAGCCATTTAATTAGATTTTTTACCACTTAGCCCGTGATTTTATTTCAAGAAGTTCACCCTTACGTCTGAGTTCAATTGAAGCGGTATCCGCCGTAATAACCCTTTTTGCGATCCAATATTTCTTATGATTAGCCGCAAAAATTAAAATTTATTACGACAATCTGCAAACAAATCAAGTGGTACGTTTTTCGTGAGAATTTTTGCCAAATCTGAAAATATTAGGCAACACTCTGTGGTCTCAATAAACTATAGACAGTAGTTAGATCCATTGTATCTTATTTTACAGTGTAATATCATTAATATCATAACATTATTTTAGACATCGTTGGTGAGATCGATCTGGAGTCTACAACCGAGACATTTCGAATTGCTACCGAATTCTATGAAATCCGTATAAATTTTTTTCGATTTAAATAGTAACGTTTTGTACATGTTTTACTTGTCAAGGGAAGCAATTCTCTGAAATTTTATTTGACCACTGAGGCAACTTATGAAAATTCTTTAAATAAAATTTTAGTCAGAGTTGCAGGTTGAAGTCGATGTACGAGAAGGTCTTTGGACTCTGATAAATCTTCTGAGTACTGTAACTCGAAGTACCTCTTAATGTAAGAAAATATCCCTTAGACCGTTGAAAACTTCCCATACTGCCCTCTCTCATTCCCCCCTCCCCCCCTCTATAAGAATTCTTCGTTCCTTGTCTCGTAACGCCCTATGTCTCTCTTCCTAATCTACTAAGCGTCCATCTGTCTGCTCGTCATTCGCTCCGTTCCATGCTCTTGTCCATATTACTTCAACTTCATTTCTTACTCTCTAAATTGACTTTGTGGTTCATGGTTAGAAAATGACGAGTTTCCGCGGCACCATTCATTAAATAATTACAGATTGTTGAGAATGGGTTTGAGAACTCATTGAGGGGTTAACTTAGTGAGAAATTTGTTTTTACAAGAAATCGTTAATGAGCTTTAAAGTTGGAATGGACTATTAAATTTCAAATTCAAATGGTTTCAGGATGTGTTCACACCAACATTTGCAATCGATAACAATTTTTTTACGCTTTTTTCACACTAACTAGCAGGAAATTGTCTAAAAACTAACGATATATAAATCTCCAATTTGTATATCTAACATATTAAATGGTAGTCTTACGATTTCTGTCAAAAATGATTTACATAACATCGAGAATTTGACAGATTTGCTGTAAGGGTGGTTATATATGCATCAGCTTCATAAACGAGGTTTAAATGGCAGAACAACTATAGAGGGAAAGTTCTGCTCATTCCAAGAAAGACCAGTCTCTATAGACAAAAACTGGGATAACTTGGTCCACCTTATTTAAAACTAATCTAAGGGGTTTACAAGAGGTTTTGTGGAATTTGTGCGTGTACCAAGAACACTCATAGGTAATTTTACACGTATTTCCCAACTGATATATGTGGCATCCAAAAAACTTGCACGATTTGTCTTGAATCTGGTAAAGACTCAAGTCGCTAAGGTACAGAATAAAAGGACAAGAAACTTCATTTAATTTCAACAGTCCAATAATGTACAGAACAGAAGGTCCAAAAACTCAAATTTACTCCATTGGACTTAATAAGGTGCGGAACAGGAGCTCATAAAACTCCATTTCATTTGATTAGTCCAATAAGGTACACAACAGTAGGTACTAAAACCCCAATTCCATGTCATTGGCCTCATTGGAATATATAGCAGTAGGACACAAAACGTTTTATTTCATTAGTCCAGTAATGCATAGAACAAAAGGACAAGAAACATTTCATTTCATTAGTCCAGTGGGGTACGAACATTAGGATGTAAAACACCCATTTAATTCCTAACAAGTGACAATTTCTATTTTCAGGACAATATTTACCAGTTTTCAGTTGGAGGAGTTAGAAAGAACATTTAAAGATGCGCATTATCCAGATTTATATGCTCGAGAGTTACTGGCCCTTAAAATAGATTTACCAGAGGATCGTATACAGGTAAGAGCTTTTCAATGTATACGTGGGAGCGCTAACTGGGTCTATAGCCTGACTGATTTTTTTGTTAATTTACTGGAAAAATGAAAAGGTTTTTTTTTGTTATTTGTTCGTATATTGAAGCTTTAATTTTAGCACCAATTTCATTTTAGTCCGACTTTTTTGCAATTTTCGAAATACTATATTTGTGCTCAACTTCTGAAGAATTCGGTTTAGATTTTAAATCCACAACTCTGCATCTATTCATATTTGTTGTTTTCATTTTAAAATTAAAAATTGACGAAAAGCAACAGCATAAAACTAACCTTTGATGGGAAAATAGCCATCAAACTAAGTCTTTTACGTCTAAAGTCGAAGTTAAAATGAATCCTCCTGAATTAAAAAATAATAATATGTAGGTATGGGAAAATGTTTATAATTCAAATAAACAAAATAGGAAATTTCGCCTATAAATGGAGTGCCTTTCAGCTTCTAATTTAGAAGAATAAAGGCCTTTAAATTCCCCCTCTATAGGACGTTAAGTGCCCTGTTATGATAACACTCGAGCAGGCAGATAAAAACGCCGGGTAGGAACCAACCAGTCAGTTTATTTAGCCATTCTAGAAGGTGATAATGTTTCTGAAACATACACTTTAATAAGTTGATTTACCGTAACAAAATAAACAGACTGATGTGAGGCGTTCGCTCATTTCTACTGCCGAGCTACCAGCGATTCAGCCTTTACCGTCATTCCATCAAGCTTCACCCCAAGTTTTTCTACGGTTGTCAGATGAAAAGTTTGTGTTTTGAGAAGAACACGTGTTCAGGAATGTTTACTCAGTAAATTTTTACGCCATCTCAAATAGACCAAAAAGCCTATTATACTTCCAAACTTTATTTTCACAAGCAAAATATATATTTATGCTGGGCTGTAACAGCCAATTTAGCGGCAAGTTAGAGCTCGGTGGTGATTTGACAGTTGTTTCTGACTTATCAACGACCAAATCACAGGCAATTAGCAGCCAAATTTCACCGAAAAAAGTTTCGGACTTGTTTTTGCTAATACAACCTTGTTTCAAAGTCAAACATCTCGATGTTTTTGTTTGTGATTTTTGAAGTTGAGAATTCGACGGCTGATATAAACATTGATAAAAATCTGATGAAAATACACAAACGGAGAGATCTTATTTTTTATTGCATTCTCGTTGTTGACTTTTACTGGCACATTAACTGCCATTTCCAAAACTAGAAAACTCACTCTTAGGCACTGGCGACAGACACCATGCAGTGTACAACGAGGAACACTTTGTAAAAACAAAGAAAAAGTCAACAAACGGACAATGGTGAACAATACACTACAATAACCTGATTATATGTTATGTTCGACAGACACACCACAATCCCAACAACCATCCCCCCCCCCCCCCCCTCCTCCTCCCAAACACACAAACCCTCACACACACACTTGCCGACGAATCGATAACGAACAGGGATCAAAACCACGGTAAAAATTAAATCTATTCATGGTCATTAATTACAACATAAAACCCTTTCTGTACATAATTTGTAATTAGAAAAAAAAACCGTTATCCTTCAATTTCACTCAATAAATAATGACACATCCTAATCCACTTTATTGCTCATAAAAATAAATTGATCACTGCGGGACAGCTTTGAATACTGTTGACCCTTGACTGGAATTGGTTAAATTCAGATGGCGCGAGATAGCGTGATGTTCAACTCCAAGAACTTAATAGTACGAATTTCTCGCTTTATTTCTTTCAATTTAGCCCTAATCAAATCTCAGCCAGTTATTTTGAATCACGAGATCTCGCAATGATTGACAGCTGCTCGAAGTGGAATAGACCTGCACTTTAAATTCAAAATGGCGTCACACTTAATTTGACAATGTTATTACACCTTCGATCATTCAGTCTTATTCTGCGTATGCTAACGCCTGGATGAACACGTCTAGAGAAAATATAATTATAGAAATGATATTATAACTGGTAAATTAATTATTATATTAGAAAGTAATGGAATAATATTAATAAGATTCTAATTTCTAGCTACGTCTGACTTTATACTCATAGAAATAGATTAGTCAACAGTTAAAGAGAATTTACACCGATCGTACAATCAGAACTAGGCCCCCGTGTCTAAAAAACATAGTATCTAATCTAATATTTCAGTCCAATATTTCTCATTGTACAATTGTATACTTTAAATTTTTTTTTGAGAAATAGAAATAGAAGAAAGGTTACACCTCCTAACAACAAAAACTAAAAAATGATGAATACTTAAAGGGACATTCCGCTTTAGGTTCAATTTTTTTTTGCTCTAACTTGTGAAAACAATAAACCAAAATCTAGAGAAATAGTTTTACCTAAAAAATCCAGCCGTTAATTTTTGAACGCAGTAAATATTTAAAAATAATTAAAAATTGTTAAAAAACTATACTGTACGGATTTGAGTAAAATAAACGCCTAATTGTAGAGAAATATGTCTCCTAAGTATTATATAGGTTCCAATTAATAATATTGAGCCATTATAAAATCAAACACCAAAACTAGGTTAACTGCTTAATTAACAATTAGTACTCTCCGTTTTTAATAAACCTTTTAAAACAAATGCAGTTTGTCAAGAAGATACACAAATATGAACAGCATACTTTAGATATATATTTTCTGGTATAATTTCCGACGTTTTTGAATCGGAATACCTCTTTAAGGCGCACAACTGACACTATAAATTTATAAAACATTGTGTAACAAATCCTAATATAATAACTCTGTGGTATTCAATGTAGTCAATTTTCCTTGTTATCGTTAAATGGCTGACTGAAATGTGTCCTATAATTTTCTAATTTCAGGTTTGGTTCCAGAATCGACGAGCTAAATGGAGAAAAACGGAAAAGACATGGGGAAAGAGCAGCATTATGGCGGAATATGGGTTATATGGTGCTATGGTACGCCATGCATTACCACTTCCAGAAGCCATTGTTAAAAGTGCTGACAAGGGTATTGAACAATCGAATGCTCCCTGGTTATTAGGTACGTTCGACACTTTTTTCAGTTTAACTAGTTATGTTTAAAAATGAATTGGTTTTACGTATTTTCTCAATGTATTTTACAAATGCTAATTAGTAAGTACACTGTAAATATAAATTAGGATTATACGCGTACATAGTCTTACTATATTGTTCTTTAGACATGCATATATTCTGTTTTCATTTTAATTGCCGTAAATTGGTTCATTCGTTAACATTAACAAAGCGAAATATACTTTTATAATTTATCTTGTTATTTTATATAATGGTCATGAATTTTATTACAGGAATGCATAAAAAGTCGATAGAAGCAGCCCAGAAAATGAACGAAGTGGATGAAGACAGTTGCTCGTCAGATTCCGAGGAAAAACACAAAAATAAAGAGGAGCTAAAATCAGAAAGTATCGCAGCATTACGAGCGAAGGCGCAGGAACACAGTGCTAGACTTGTGGGTGTTATAAACAGAGACGGTTGTGTTCCGATGGAGCGTAATAATACATTAAATCATAAAATAAACGACACGTATCAGAGAGACAATGGTCTAACTTCCTGTTGAACTTTGACCTGACTGCGTATTGTTTCCGGTTTAAAAGGCTCTTTACTGGATTCTTATTAGTTCAAGTCGTATCGTATCGTAATTGCTCAATATGATTACCGCATACCTCATGTCACGTGATATGTGATGAGTGCTAAGTTCAAGGTTATGGCGGTTTAAAGTGTTTACAAAGCTGGTTTTCCAGACGTTACATTACCTTCTCTAAATCATGAACAAGAATAATGAACTAAACGACATAAAAACCAATGCCTGCAGTACAAATTATCAAAAGACAAAATGGCATTGTTTTGAATGATACTAGCTAAAGTGCATTTGAACTACAACGACGACGTAACGACACCAATTAATTTTTTTAAAAATGAGGTGTTTTATTGTCCAGGTGGTAATGATTTAAATTGTCGTTTGTAAAGCGAGTTTCCATAAGTTGGAATCTCTGGAAATCCATGAAAAGCAAAATATTGAATTCTGATTCCACTGACAATGCTAACGAGGGTTCAAAGTTAATCGTACTACGAGAATGTGAATCCAGCGGTACGAGGGACCGGGTGATCCAATATTTTGAATTGGAGTAGTCGCCCTTTACGATTTTAAAGGAAACCAAGATGTGTGTTATTTAGGGCCTAAGAGCTCGTCCTGAAACTTTGTACAAACTTCTCTAGCTATTTAATGTGCTCTTATTTTAGTGTTGTGCCTTTAATATAATCAATAATTTAATGTCTACAACCAACAACATAAAAGGAGAATTTGGTCGGTATAATGCCTAGTATTCGAAACTGTTTTTAGTTTCCAAATTTCTAACTTGCAATTGTTTTAAATTTGATATGTGTCCACTTTTAACTAAATTGATTTCATGCAGACTATTTGATGAGAAAGATGATCTTTTAGCAAATCCAGGGACACCCATATACACATAAACGTTTCCGTGTGAATAGATATCTTTTAGCGAAAATGGCAATTACCATTTAAACAGTTCAGAATGTGCATCTTAAACCTCAAATTGGAAAACACCGGGCATTTATTTGTAATTTATTGTCCCGTAGATGTATCATGAGTTTAAAAATGCGTGTATCTTTTCTATTATATGCCATTAGTTGTACATATTTATTCCAATTGGCATTAATGATATCATAATTGTAAATATAGTAGATTAAATAATAATGGGGAACCTTAAAGGTTCTACGTGATCTTTATTTGTTGTACAACTCTTCGAGGAACTTTTTCAAGGCGATCATCTAGTTGATGTGCATCTATCCTAGTCAAAAAACATCCGTTGTCAACGTTATACGAATAACCTTTTCTGTGCAAACTAACATAATGCAAACGAGCATAGTATTCAGTTGGTTCTTTGTTCATTTCAATTTTATTAAGGGCCAAATTTGTATTCTTTGACTGTCGAACAAAGGGTCACAGTTTTGGAATATCAAAATATCATATGTGTACAATCGTGTTCAACAATGTAGAGAGGCCTTTAAACTAATTAATGTTTGTAAGTTATGTCAGGTGTACAAAATATAACGTATATTATTCCAAATGATTGTTTTTTTTACTTGAATGTAAACCCGAGTCCCTGACTCTATGGCAGAACGTTATTACCTCGTGGCTTTATAATCTAATACAGTCATAGCATAGTAACGTCTATTAAACTCATTTTCTAACAGCCGAGTGATGAGTAAAGGACACTGAATGACGTTTCCAGTCTCCATTCACTTCATCCATTAAAATATGATATAAAATTCTTTTTCATTAATTCCATTTTCCCCAAAGATCAATCGGTACTTTTGTCTCTCTACTATATACTTAAGTTACAGTGGGTGTTGCTGCTAAATCACATCATGCTTAATCTTTCAGAACACCTTATGTCACTCTAAGACTGGATTTGTGTACTATGGATCCTATTCTGGGGAGTCCACGTGGCTAATGATGTAAATTTATAGTTAACAATATAAGTGGATAGGTAACATTTCGGTCTAATTCTGTCATTGCGAACGTTTGGCGTCAGCGCGGACCTATGAGAGGCCCTCATATCATACAATTTTCATTTGAATCTAAACTTAAGCAAGGTCGTGTTTTTGAAGGAAAATGAACGCAAAAGTGACAAAGAGGGTAAGTGATGGGATACTGTTTTTAATCTAAAATTGGACATGACACTGCGGACTACTTGATAGGGACCGGAGTCGAATTCCCCTGAGGCCTTAGGACTGCCAGAGGCCCACATATACCAACGGATTTCAGATGGCCTGAGTTGAATTTTGAGCATTAAGCGGGCGGGCTTGAGTTTTACTTCACGGGCCCGAGGAGGGGGTGAGGGGGTGGCCGAACCCTATATACGCCAATGTTGATAGCCCTACAGTCAAGAAGCTACGTGGGTCTCGTGTCATTTCTACATAGAATGAAAGAGCAATTGACATTTTTAAGAAGATTAGAGATATATATGTCAGATGTCAGGAAAGTTTGACAAATCGGTAGGATATCGGTGATATCACTCAGTGCACCTGGTCCCTTAAAAATATGGTACGATAAAACTGATTACGTGTACACACAGCAGTGGTTACAAGTGTTACATGCCTGTGGAATTTAGGTGTGTTTGTCCGTCCATACTTCCAACACTCACTTCCTCACTCCCTTACTATTCATAGGACCTGAGGTTTTGATCTGTGGATACTTTGAAATACCTTCGAATGTTTCAACCAGGTTTCCAATAAGCTTTGTATGTCAGAATTGTTCACTTCACAACTGCTACATGACTGTGGAATTTAGGTGTGTCTGTCTGTCCATATCTCGAGAATTTTGGGTCTTTGCGGCAATTTCCCTTGTAACCAGTGGCCCTGGGGTTTGATCTTGAGATAGCTCAAGTCGTTTGGATGTTGGAAGGAAAGATGCCATATGTTTGCCTTTGTCCTGGTAAAATTCAGGATCCGTTAATATATCGAAAATAGATCCAAGGGCGATAAATCTATTTTCTCTATTTAGTATGCCTTTCCCTTTGACAATTTTAGCATGAAGCAAGGTTAGTTTCGTGTTATCAAAATAGTCTATACAAACTCCTGATATCCAAGTGGTTTATGCAATCAAACCCCTACCATGCCTCCCCGGCCTAAAACAATTCCGCTTTTCATCTGAGTTTCGTTGTTTTGGACACTTACACACTTCCCCGTTATGATCTTTAAAACTTAGGACACGAATGCCTAAAAAACTGCGAATTTCTTTCTTTTCTGGTAATTTTGTATGTCGCCGACATAGTTTTAGTCTAGACTGTAACCCTATGTAGTATATGAAATAAAACAACCGCTATGATGCCTGTTTGTTTTTATCAGACTGAAATAGAAAAGGACAACGTTATTCTGGTTCTTTAGTTATATTGACCTCTCTGTCGCATATTCAACTGTCGAGAAAAATGTAAGCAAAAGCAGCTAGGTTAGATGGTGAAGTCAGCTGTCTAGGAAATGTCTCTGTTCAACACTGCATGGACTTGTTCGGCTTCAAAGGCTAAATAGTGAGCAGTGATATAAGAAGTAAAACTCCGTATCGTTTTCCTTTGTCTGATGATAAAATTGACTGATGATAAACTGTAACGGGATACAGTCTTTCTGACTTGGTTTGTTCTCCCATAACATATGCTAAATAATTTATCTAGATTTGAAATCAATGTCTAAAGGGAGCCATAGAACATAGTCCTTATTGTCACCCGTCATTGCCTTGATTAGTCCACACCGCCCTTAACAATCAATTAAACGATCAAATACACTACTCAAGCCAATATCCCAACGACAATGATTGATCTGAAACATGGCTCCGCCCACTACATGATATGAATATTAATTAGCTGTGATTGATGGCACCACGACAGCCACGTGGTTGGAGTCTGTGACTGACAGATTAGAACTGGTGATAAATTGTCCAAACAGTAGGCGACCGTCAACGGGGAATTTCTCAGATTTTTCCGAGCACGATCAAAAACCGGAATTCTCTCAAGCGGAAAACGAAATGAGGAATTTGGAAATTGCTCTCGTTCCGCTGCCTAGACTTGGACGACGAAGCACTCTAAATTTCTATCAACCGTATTAGCTATGTTTCGTTTTGTTTCGTTTTATCCCGCCTGATTCGCAAACTTAATGATAAAATTGGTCTCCTGATGCTCGGCAACGTGATTATAATTACTTTTTGTACGGTTTCTTCCACAATTAATAAACGAATGAAGATCGTTTAGAGTCGAGTCTCGGAGGATAGGCTGTAGAGAAAATAAGATAAGAAGCCATAATGAAATGAGTCTAGTATTGTGTTTGAAACGATTCGGTTAAATATCACCATTCAATAACCGGAAATTTCAGTAAAAGGTTAATTAAGACGAGTAGAATTACAATTCGTTAGTTTATGAGCTGTAAAAAGGCGGATCGCAGAATGATAAAAAACGAATTGTATAGAAAATATCGAAAAAGATTGACAAACTTGAACATTGAATGGACGATAAGCATCTAGAATGGCTCTACTTCATTTCATTTACATGGTTTAGTCGTTTAGCAGATGAATTGAGTCCGAGATGGAAACGATAGAAGCTGGGATGTCACAGATAATACTTGATTTATTCTGGAAAATAATCATCCAAATTATGTGATTGACAAGAGGGATAACTCTGCTTATTTCACCCATTCATTCAACATGTTAGTTCTTTTTTACTATGAAATAACGAGTTGATCATGAAGTGATGTTATCGGTATAGTAGAAACTAGATAAATTAGAGAATAATGGAGAGAATAGGACACCGAGCTCGATATTAATTGACCCTTTGATGACGGTGATTACAGAATGATAAAATAAAATTAATAAATAATGTTTAAATCAAGGCAAGTGGTTTATTTAGACGAAGCATCAATATTGTATGAATGTAACATTGGTGATAAGCCGCTCGTCTCTTTTTAAAACATAATATGATAAGAACAACGCATCTTCGTGCGGCCAAGGTTCAGTAGAGGGGCGAAGCGATAGACCTATGTTTTCAAACG